TATATATATATATATATATATATATATATTCTAATATTTTGTAATAAAATAGAGGACTAAATTCCTTTAGTGCTTTAGTGGATAATTGACATGTATAAACTTAAGAAACAATATTTGGCCATATTTTATTGCACAAATTCAAATAAAAATAGTTATTCGGACATAAGCCTCACAGATAAACGCTTCAACAAAAAAAGGTTCACCCACAAAAACTACAATCTTCCCAGCCCAATATTATACGGCTAATAACAGCAGCTCCCTGGTACGTAAATAACAAAACTTTACATAACGACTTACGACAACCAACTATCCACCGACACATGCTTACTCTTAACTCACGATTCCATGTTAAACTACAAGGGTACAACAGACTCATTAACGACACGGCCACCGTTAACATGCCCATTAGGAGCAGACTGAAGAGGAGCTGGATGAGAGATCTCCGGATTCACGGAAGCAAATAAAGACCGGGAAGAGTTGTCGCTGGGTGCTATCCTTCTTTATACCTGTCATGCCACTATCATCTATATTCCCATCAAATCTGCTGACTGTCACTCTCATGTAAGATAAAAAAAGTTTGCAGTGTATTAAAGCACACTTCCCGCTCACTTTCATTTACAATCTTCAATTTTTTCGTCAATGAATTGAATGACCATATTATTAAATAGTTCAATTGAAAATCTAGCCTTTTTATTTAATTTCGCGCGATTTGTAAGTTTGCAAAATTGCTTCGTTTGAGCTGTTGGTTCATACCTTTTTTTCTGAAACTTTTAACTTTTAACTGTCATTCTGCTTAACTAGAAAAATACGTAATAATGTATAAAACATGTTTTACTTCGAATCATTTTCCCTTTTTTGTTAACAAAAATAGGTGTTTTTAAATAAAATTTTACAAATTAAAAAAAGCTCCGATATCCTCCAAAAAATTGACTTCATACAAGTTTTTAGCAGTCATTGCTAAAGACGAATTCGTATTAATTTAAATTGCGATGGTCCACCTGAAAGTATTAAAAAATTATTTAAAATTATTTTTGTGTATATATAAATGTTCGACAGCAGAAAAAACCTTTATATCTCTTTCGTGGACTTTGAAAAAGCATATGACTCCATAGACAGAGAAACCTTACCGAAAATCCTGAGGGAATACGGCGCCTATCAAAAGACCATAAACCTAATAAAAGAAATTCTAACAGAAACCAAGTCAAAAATAAAATTAAGAAGGAATATAAGCAAACTATTTGTGATAAAAACGGGTGTGAGACAAGGGGATGGACTGTCACCTATTCTCTTCAACGTTGTTCTCGACAAAGATATGAGGACCTTATGGGAAAAGGAAACATCAAGAGCTAAAGTAGGAAATCAAAGGAGCAATATCCTTGTAAAATTTATAGCCTTTGCAGATGACTTGGCCCTATTTGAGTCGGAGGAAGAGCCGGTTAGACAGATAAATTCGCTGAAAAAATAGCCGAGAAAACTGGACTTAAAATCTCCTTCCAGAAGACTAAATTTATGACCACAAATCCCAACAATAGGAAGACAGAAATAAAAACAGAATTCGGTAAAATAAATGTGGTTAAAAACCTTAAATACCTGGGCGAAATAATCAGCAGAAATTTATCGGAGAAAGAAAGCATGGAGTATAAGGTACAAAATTTGAAGAATTATGCTACTTAACCAGTAGCACTTATAATAAAAAATGCCTCTCCAAAAAGTCCAAAATCAGGCACTACAATACAGTGGTAAAGCCAGTGATACTGTACGGAACGGAGACAGTGTTCTTTCCCAGTTTGGAGAAACTGCTGAAAACAGAAATAAGGATTCTTAGAAGAACCCATGGGCCCAAAATAAGACCAGAAGGAGACTGAAATAAAATAAGGAAATTTACAGTGAAACCTCTGATTTGGAAACGGGAACGAGGGTGAGAAGACTTAGATTTTATGAACACATGCAAAGGATGACTGAGGAGAGGTTAAAAAAGAAGATTTTCAGTAGGGTTATGGGATACAAGTTTAACCATGGATATATGGTACAAATAAAACAGGAAATACAGAAGCTTGGGATAACACGGGAATTATGTGAGGATAGGACAGAATACAAGAAATTCCTGAAAAGTGCGGTGCATGTGGTGGACAGTAAGGAACTTCCTTCCAGGAGGAAGTGGACGGAGGAGAGGAAGAAAAAATTTAGCGATATCCTCAAGCAGAGATGGGCAGAAAGGAAGAAATTGAAAAAGAAACCAGTTTCATAGTCGCGTAGTCCTTCAGGGCTGTTTCGCGTCAAATAAATAAATAAATGTTCGAACAATTTCTAGGTATGTATTAATATCTCCTATAACTAGACAAATTCAGTTTTAAGAATTGCATTGAGCATAAAGAAAATAAGGTTCTGTAGTTATTTATTTCGAAAAATACCTCAAACCAAAACAATAAAAAAAATTTACATTTAATTGATTGATTATTTTTTGAGCTTGTTTATTGAAAAATATTACAATCTGTCTCAAAGGTTATAATAGTAATGAGAAATCATATTCACACTATATGTACAATAAATAAAATAAATTACACAGAAAAAATAATATATATACAATAAATTACCGAAAAATAAAAAAATGAAAAAGAACACCTACATACCTACATAATCTATTTATAATCAGGTGAGAGAACTTCGAGCCAGACTTGTCCCTCCAAATGTGGAGGGGAAAGCATGGCTCCAGGAGATCCCTGCACTTCTCTCTCAACCGATGGTCAACCGCGGGTTAGTATGGCTAAATCCAGAAGAGATTGAGCAAGAGTGTTTTAGCCACATACACTCATGTCGTGAGTGGAGATGGGGCGGGGTGGTCGGATGGGCTAAAGCGTGTGCACAGCACTGCGAGTTATCTGGCAACCAGATATATGAAGTTTTGAGAACAAAAATAAGTACGAGTTCGCGTCCCGGTGCCGGAAGGGGGTTTTAAATTCCCCGCCCTCACCCTACGGCCCGGGAAAATCCCGTATAGCCTAAATGGTGAGGTAGGGAAGAATATAGAAAGGAGTATCGACTATCGTTCGATGGTTTTTGTACTGGAAATCTTTAGAAGGAATCGGTAATGGGAGCTGGTGATGAAAATTTTCGATAAAGCGATTTTCGTAGGTATTACCAATCACATTACGGCATGACAATACAAGTACTCTGCGAGAACGAAAGGCAAGTGACTATTCACAATCACCTGTTAAATAAATAACTGTAAGCATGGTTTGCCATGTTTCATTGAAAAATTTAGTTCCGTTACTTTATTAAAGATAATTTTTGTTTCATTTTCTTAGGGGAGACGCGCGCCACTCCACTGGATTCGCAAGTGACCATACCTCATTAATAAAAACTAGCATCATCATCATACGATGGAGCTAGGTCGTGGTAGAATCTTGGCCTCCTCTACTATCTTCCTCCAAATAGACCTGTCTTCGGCCTCCCTTCTCCATCTGCCTACACCCATGCTCATTAGATTATTTTCGACGCCTAGCCAACGAAATTTAGGTCTGCCTCCTTTCCTTCTTCCACCCGGATGTTCCTCCATCATCATTTTATGGAGCATATCATGTCCCATTCTTTGCATATGACCCAACCATCTTATCCTTCCTTTCTTTATGGTGGATATAATGTCTGGGTCATTATATAGCTTCTTCAGCACGTCATTTGTCTTCATAAGCTAAAGATTTCCTTCTTTGGTTGGGCCATAAATTCTACGAAGGATTTTTTTTTCCCAAATGTAAACTAACGGGTATTAAATAAATCTGTAGACATACTTATTTCAACCGTCGGATATACTTTTCCCGAGGATGTCCAACCCGTCTCCCTATAGTCAATATCGCATATACCTAACACTCCTCCCTCCCTCCCAAGAAAATTGATAGCTCTTCTCTTCTTAAAAACAATGAAAGTAAAATTACAAAATCGTAAATCATTTACGATTACAATTGCTGTGGTCTGCTCTCTTTGTTCGCTGTTTTAGAACATTTCACCAACTAAATACAAAATCCCGTCGAAATTTGCTTCTCTTAAAAATTCGAAACCCTATTGAAATGAGCCTTTCTCAGATATTTTGATGGCGCAACCGGCTTTGGCTTTGGCCAGGAGCTGGAACTGAGGGATAACTATTGTCCGTATTACAAATTTCATCCTGAATCAATCATCTCCAAGCGTAATGTCAAACTATTCTGGGATCAGCCTATACTTACAGATCACACTGTCCCACATAATATGCCTGACATTCTAATAATCGATAAAGAAAAGAAAATAGCGTCCATTATAGAAATTGGAGTTCCTTCAGATGATAATCTGCACAAGGTATTGGAGGAAAAAAAAAGAAAATATGTAGAATTGCCAGACGAGGGACAAGCCTGCCTCGGAGTTCCCTCGCCTGATTTTAAGTAGTGTATATAGGTGCATGCATGTGTTTTTAATTTTCTTATTTTTAAGTTATTTTATTTTATTTATTCTATATATTATTTTATTGTTATTTTGCTTCTTTTTATTTTATATTTCTGCACATATAGTGTGAATGTTATTCTTCCTCACTATAACTAATGTCCAAGTGACAGATTGTTGTAATAATAAATAAATTTTTAAAAAATATATCTTTAAGCCCATATTAATTAAGTGGAGGTTTATTCGGAAAAAATAATTGAGATTCATCTCCAATTGTGTTAATAAATGAGCTGATTTTTTATCTTGCCCCCAAACGTACCTGTGTTATAGCTGTATTATGTTATACCAATATGTGTTTTGCTATACGCAAGGAGAAAATATAAAAATATATCGTTGATAGGCGATTGTGAAATAAGTCAACGTCTTGTTTTATAAAAAAAGAAAACTAACCTATTATGTCCTAATTTTTTCTGGGGTCAAGTGCTATTTTCCACTTTGAGCGCCAGTTTAATGATTCACATCCTCTGCACCTTGCCATATATAGCTGAGCAAAGAGTTTCTTCTGTCAGTACCTTTCGACAACTGGTGTCAACATGTATCTCACAAATTGTTTTGTAAATGTGATTCTTTTTAATTTCGTATTAGGAATTTTGCTTTCAACAGCACACTCAGTAAGTTTATAATTCAACTATATGATTCATCAAGAGTTAAATATTTATAACTAGTGGTCTAGTAGTTCATTCATCAAACATTTGTCTTCTAAGATTTTGTGTCCATATTCTGAGTAATCATTTTTTAGAATATGATATAAGACCTCCATTAAAATTGTTATTCGTTTAGTTATAATTTCTGTAATTTGTTATCGATCGTTGCCTATGAAGTAATGATTTTAAATTGAGTGCTATCACGTGTTCTATCTACCAGTTTTCGAATGTCCAACAGCTCAGTCGTACTTGACAGTTTATAGTAAATTTTTAGATTATGTCAAAACAAGCATCTAGGTGCTTTGGACAGGATGCATTATATTTCACTTAGATTTTACGATACCAACATTGGAATAAATTTCGTATATTTGATTAAGTACGAGATACAGATTCTTTTACGGATTTGGTAACAACCTTAGATTCTTAAAATTTTAAATTTCTTAAAGTTTTACATACAGAGGCCTAGAAAAAATCTTTCTTGGATCATGTTATCTACTGTTTCATAATCTGTATCTGAATTTTAATTCATCAAAATCATGGGATTTGGAATAAAACAGCTGAAACACCCAAAAGTTATTTCTTCAACATCAACGAAATTCACTTACAATACTATTATTTTTTTCAGGCCCTGCCAGAAAAATATCAACAGATTGTTATTGGCTGTTATAAAGAAAATGGTTATGATGGTCGTCCTTTGGGTAGCTATTAAATCCATATCATAATTGTTGTTATGTTATTCTTTTATATTTATAATGTGAAATACAATTCTTTGAAATATATACTTTTTTTCAGATTACTTTGATCCAGCAGTCCCAAATAACTTTAAGGTACTTATGTTAAACAGATAAAGAAACTTAATTTGTTTTTCTCCAACATATTCTTTAGCGATTTTATTCAGTTTCTACATTTATTTTTGTATACGGTATTTTTAGAAAAATTGTATAAAACTCGGTCACACAGCAAAGCGCTATATATGAGTTATGATATGTTTTTATGAATTGATTGATTAGTATGTTATCAATCATTAATTTACCATCACATGGTAAGTAGGTGAGTATTTCATAATATACGTATAGGTAAAAGACAACATGTCCATTTTTTTATTAAATAATTTTGTTATTAAGATGTTGATTTAAATATCTGGAAGCTATGGACAATTGGCTCCCCTGACTAATATAAAAATCTGACTTTGAGTCCTTTACATCCTGAGCACAGATTTAGTAACTAAGAAAAAAATTTTAATAGCTCAAAGTTATTGAAAATTGGCTCTCTGGAGAAATAAAAAAATGTGACATGGAGTCCTTTACTTCCGAGTACAGACCCCTTTTCATCAAATTATTAACATCCACCTGAAGCTTGGTAAATAGCTTCATCTCATTGTAACATTTTTTCCCGGAAATTCTCTGAATTGGGCCGTTTTAAATCTGGAGATTGGCAAACTTTGTCTATTTAATTATGTCCAAAAAACTCATTATAATACAATGAATACTTATTTACAAGTGAATCTTCATTTGTTTTCCACTTGAATCGTAAGATGACTTGATCACAAAATCAAAATTTTGAAATTTCAATTTGTCTTCTAGCGATCCTCCGACTTACCTATCGAAATGTTAATATATACTTAATTTATTTATGAAAGAAATATTATTATTTTTAACTATTTATTTATTTAACGATTTCTACTTACATATCTAATTAATTATTATTTACATATAGTCCTTGGTACAGAGCCCTTTTTTTTTATCAAATTATTAACACCCGGCTGAAACTTCGTGAATAGCTTCATCTCATCGTCAACTACAAATATTTTATTTACGAATATTTTTGGAATTGGGACAATTTATATATGTAGGTCGGCAAACTTTGTCTAATTAATTGATACTAAAAACTTCTAAATATGCATTTGGATTCTACTTGGATCGTAAGGTTATTTGATAACGAAATGGAAAAAAAAGGTGGCCTACAAAAATATTGGGTCACTTGACCAGTAAAACATCGTTATTTTGATATGTTTAGGATGCAGGTCGTGCCAAACGATATTTTTGTAGGACACCTTTTTTTGATCAAATTATTTTGTGTTCACATTATCTTATGCTCCAATTGGAAAGCAAATAAATGTTTATTAGTTTTTAGTACCTAATTAAATACAAAATTTGCCGATCTTCAGATTAAAAACAGCCCAATCCAAAATTTTTTACAAATAAAATATTTTTAGTTCACGACCAGCTGAAGCTATTCACGAAGTTTCAGACGGCTGTTAATAATTTGATAAAAAGGGGTTTCTACACAGACTAAATATAACTACAAATGATACTTAAACAAAGCGTCTTCAAAATGTTGAGCACTCACAGTTCGAGAACGAAAAATAAGAAACTTAGTGCATTCGTAATCAAATATGGTTCTTGACATTTGATAAAATATGTGTAAATAGTGGATCATATGATGATTCAAAGAGATGGTCCGGGATTCGGTTTAAAGGAAAGCCATCAAATAAAATATGATTACATTATTGATCAGATTAGGGGCTTACCGACATTTCGAAGAAATTCGATGTTAGTGTCCTATCAGTGATAAAGAGGGGAATGTTCATAACCAAGAGACCAATCTAGTATCGGACTTCGATCGAATGATCTGAGCGATTTCAGCAGATAGATACTCATATTAGGTGCTTTTTGTTATTTAATAACTGCCGGAAAAACTTCTTGAGATTTGATAGAATTTTTTCTAAGCTAACTTTTTATTATACACTAACATTCCTTTAACTTTGAGCTAAATTAGACAAGCCATTTATAAAATATAATTAAACCAGGAAAAATTATCAAATATTGCACGCTCGTAGAAAAGGTAGTAAATAGAATTTGATAAAAGGTTTATGGGACCATCAAGGCACAACCGAAATTCCATACAACCGTCCGGGAAAATATACAATGAAAAAAAAAAAACGGATTTGACTACAAATAATACAAGTAGTCGAAATTTTCAATTCTAAACTCAATTTTTTTTTCTTCATGAATACTAAGCTATCTTCCTCAGTGAGAAATCAAACAAAAATAATACACATTTGAATTAATCTGTTAATACCTCCGAATTCGTATATGAAAAAAAGTATTAAAATAGAATAGTCTTTGTAATATTATTTTCGTACAACTACTAAAGACTTTTTTAAATTCTAATTTCATCTTCAAACATATTTTTTTAATCCTACCATGAACTTTTGAGTATTCGGATTGGAGCCATTTTTATTTAGGAAAGTGGTCGACTCCAGTTCTAATTTATAAATGAAAACAAAATATCTTGAAACCAGTATCGAAACCATAAGTATTACATTTAATCTCGGTATTTAGTCTAATGAGAGTATCTTGTGGATACCTGTAAGAATATCTTTTTGAGGTAGAAGAAAAGGAAAACTGGCTTAAAATTCTTTGGAATTTTGTTACGCTATTAGAAGTGGGCTAAAATGAAACATTTCTGATTTGAATACCTCAATATCTGTCCTTAAATCGTTATTGCATAATTTTTTTTTAATTATATTTTCTGTCCTAAAGTTTATATCCCAGGAATCATTTTATTTAGGTTAACTTCAATTAAGTTTTAGAAGAACCGGCAGTTTTGAAAAACAAGAAAACGTTAATTTAATAAAGTACTTTATTGTACTGTGATGTGCATATATAGAACTTAGTGCGGTTGTTAGTTATATGTGGTTATAATGTTTTACTAGATGTCTCAGACCATTTTCTAGTATAGCAGTGTTAAATTTGTATATTACAAAATATAGACAAATTGAATGTTCAAAATTTTCTCTGACAGCTATTCTTGCATTGCGTTGTATTTACTGGTACTATTGCGTTGATTTCTTATTTTTTAGAAATCATTTTTGCGTTTGAAAAACTTTTGTAAGGTCTTTATTAATCCCAATATCGCCGTACTTCCTTAATTCAGGAGCAACATTGACCTTTCCTCATCTTATCCTTAAGTATCTCTTTTAACCTCATTCTCCTCTATTACTTCTTCAATCATTGCCATTGCTCCATGCTTTCTAAGTAATCTTTAGAATTAGCAGAATCTGATAACTGGTGTTCACAAAATTGCCTCCAGATTTCCATCACCTCCTTTTCTTCAGACATCACCTTCTTTTCTGTGTCCTAGGTATTACATTCTCGACGTCTTACAAAATACATTTACCTCCAAAATAATATTATATTATCTTTGTGGTTTTAATCAAGGACTAAAATCTTCTATTGACTTCGGCTTTTCTTTTCTTTTGCATGGATACATTTTAGAAAAATTCGTTTGCCATTTCTGAGTTGAGCCATTTTGACAATAATCCTGCAAAACATTTTCTACTGTTTAGTCTATTTAGCATTTTTATGTTATTAAATATATATTATACATAATTATGTATGTATTCAAGTATCCAGTATTAATACTTTTTTTTATAGTGTGCTCTAGCTTGCATTTTGGAAAAAAAGGGATTTGTAAGTTATTTCTACAAATATTACTTTCATTTACCTTAAAATTAAATTATTTAGTGGGATAATTGTTCTCGGGTCAATGTTCGTTCCTTAGTTTAAGGAAGATGGGTCTATCGACAAAGTGAAGTTTGGAAAGGATATGGAAGAAGTAATTGAAGATCAAGATGGAAGGAATAGGTACCTTAAGGCTGTTGATCGATGTGATCCAAAAGGTACTAATAAAGATCCATGATATGATTAGTAACTAAAAATATGTGTATTTATTTCGCGAAAATACTAATATTATTAAAATATTTCCAGCAAGAGCAAACAATTGTGAAACTGCTTATGAGTTTACGAAATGTGTGAATACGTAAGGTAAGGTAAACATAACGTAAGTATTTGGTTGGTATAATCATTGCCACTAGCGGATCCAGGAGTTAATTTTGGGAGGGGGGCTTCAGCTCGAAAGATTTTTTTTCATATACCTATAATAATTATTAATTGGAAAAAAAGAAAGAAATTAATTACCTATATGAAATGGTATTTAAGTGGTTCTTAAGTCTTGTTAAAGTCTTATTAAACATAATTACACGAACAAGAATACTTTAAGAAATAGTTTTTAATATTTTTTTTCCGGAAAACATGGTTACATTTCACCATTCTGCTTCAGCCCGAAAGCCCCTCCCCCCATAGATCCGCCTGTGATCATTGCCAAAGAACAAAATAATTATAGGGAGATCTTTTTCTCTAACGTAAAATGAAAAAAAACAACATTATTTTTTGACAATAAGGTTTTTTATATTTTCTCATTCTTATGGTTAACTGTGATAATAAAAATTAACTATAGTATATATTTTTTTTTATTCCTTTCTTTTCCTTTTAGCCAATAATTATAGTCCCTATTCTGGATTTTAACAAATATTTTAAATAAATACGATTGGAATAATCCTAACAATTACACAAATAAATAAGTATATATATATAAGTATATAAATATATACTATATGCCTTCTTAAAAGTTGTATGTATACGTATAAAAGTATATAGTTAACTTTTAAATATCTCTAATTTGGCAATTAATTTGATAGTGAAGTATTATTACTAAATATAACTAATACAAAATATCAACTTTTCAGGCTGCTGTTCTTTGAAGATGGCTTAACGATAATTTATGGGCGAAGATCGATTCATGCTGAAGATACGTTACTCTTCATTTTAACACTGTTGCAGTTTTGTCAACTATTAAATTGATAAATAAAATGAAAAAATAAATTATTTTATCATACAAGATGTTTTTTTGTAATACTTTTCACCTTCTGCCAATATCTGTTCAGCAACCAGACAACTAGCGAAAAAAAACTGGTCTTATGAATAAATGAAAACTACAAATTTAAAACCTGGATCAAATCGGAAAAAGGTTCCTTATCCGAAAAGAAACTATTGGTTTACAAAGTAGGAAACATCTGTTCAGTTTATCTTGATAAAATAATTATTAATACATAAACATAAAATTAAATTTGCGGTCTACGAATTTCTTTGCAATGAGGCTTACCATCACAAATGCAAGAAACGGATCAGTTTAGCATGTCTCTTGGCCACCGCCTACGTAATCGTCGAGGTGGGTTGTACGGGTTTCTAGTGCGTTGAAGGTTTTCTGTCAGAGGATTTGTGTTGTAAGTTAGTCTTTGCTGAAAGTTATTGTAGTTTTCTTTTGCAGTGTCTAAAATTGTTGGGATGTTCAAGTCTTTATGTAATATATCGTTTGCGATATAAAATGGTGCGTCAATTATCGTTCGGAAAATATTGGATAGGGAAGACAGGATTTTTTTAATATTGGCAGTTTTACCATAACCCCGCAGTTCTATGCCATAAGTCCTAATTGGTTTAAGTAAAACTTTTTAGAGGGTTAGCTTGTTAGTCAAAGATAATTTTGAACGATGTCAGGTAACCTAGATAAAAGAAAGAATCTTCTGTTTAATTAAATACCTTTTTGTCTAATGTGAGTCTTTCAAGTTAGTCTTTTGTCGAGATAAAAACCCAAATATTTAATTAAATCGGATGCAGGGATTTCAATGTCATTAAAAGATATAAAAGAAGGAGTGTGATTAAGAGTGAATACTACGTACACACTATTTTTTCATTCATTTTAATTTCCCACCTCGTGGCTCATCAGCGATATCGTTCAAGTAGGGGGTGGGAATAGCCGAGTGGGCTAACGCATGTGCACAGCACCACGCGTTGCCTGGCAACACGGCTAGAAGATTATGTGATAAAATAATACCGAGTTCGCATCCCGGTGACAAGGGGTCTTTTAACTCCGGCATTAAACCCCCGTCCTTAACCAGTGGTCCGGCAAAACCTCCGTATAGCCTAAAAGGCGAAGAAGGAGAGGACATAAAAAAAAAAGAAGAAAGAAAATAGATCGTTCACGTTTTGAACAGAGTGGTGAATGCTCGAACAGGATTTTTATTTCAGCAGAGGATTGCTGTATCGTCACCTAAAGTAGAATTACTACTGTGGGAAACTATTGAAAAATGTGATAAATTAATTTAAAAAAGAAACCAGCTCTTTTACGAATACTAACAAGCTGGGTATTAAATAAACATTCAGACATAAATCTATCATTTTTGAGTTTTTTTTTTTTCCTTTTGTTGGTCATAGATTAAAAATACGTTCGACATTCCTGGCCATTATTTGTTTTGCCCTAAAATCCTAATTAACAAATATAATATTAAAAAATACATATTAATTTACTGTGTCGCTAATCATTTGAAATTTATTTTCATGAAGAAAAGGCCGGATATTGTGTAAGTAACTAGCGTCGTGGGAGATCTATGAAAAAACAGAGCAATTTTCTTGGAATTCTAGTTTGTCATTCCAGATATTTTATTTAATTACTACCTTGCACAGTGGGGCAACTCTAAATTTTTATAATGACTTTAAAATTTGTTCAAACATGTTCTTTAGGCGTTGAAGTTTATAAAATTCGGTTTCCAAGCGATTCCAAAGGGGTTTAATTGTTGATGTTTAATAAATATATTCAAAAGTTAGAAGTTTCAGTTTCTATGTCGAAAAAATGGATGTTTATAAAATCTTTTGCTGCTCTATTGTTATATCATTTATCTCATCATTTAAATATTTCATAGAAGTACATTTAAAAAAAAAAAATATTTTAAAATGAAAACGAAGATAACTCAGATAACCACTTTTATGAAGTATTAGTGTTTCATAAAATCGGTCTTGCAGAACAAAGACCAAGACTACCTAATTGTTGCAAGACTAATACCAAGACGGGAAGCTACAAAAAAAAAAATCTCCCAAGCATAGTCAGTATAGTTTCCTCAAAATATCTACATTACAAAGTATTATATTTTTCGTATGAGACTAAAATCTCTAGGAGTAGCCGTTTTCGGAAATTAAGTAAAACCCTCAACATATACAGGTTTGATATTCCCGGGTTTCGTTTAACAGCGAATACTAAAATGTGAAAGTTCCGCATTTGCAGATTATATTTGATGATTCAGGATGGAAAAGATCTGTTGTGTCCCCTCACACGAGTTTCCTACCTATTTCAGAATAGTTTTAATATCTTTACATATGTTCATAAAGAAACAAAAAAGAAAATAGTACTAGATTTATTTTCCTGAAAATTGATCAAAGAAAATATTTGAGTACGATTTATTTGATAAACTAAAGCAATGTAAACCGGCTTAAGGTAGATCGGTGTAAAAAATTCAATACTCTCTAATATTGCTGATCAAAAACTTTTTACCTTAGCTTAGTGTTTTAAAGTAGAGAAAATAGTGAAGCTTGTGTGATGCGGGCAACAGATTTTCTTACTTTCACTTAGTCATCTTTTTTTCCTCATTCACTTCTTTCTGACACCAGGATCTGTGTGAAAAATAGAATAAGCTGTATCATCGCTAATACTGGTTCGATTCCTATGATTTTTCGATTCCGTAATTGTACATTGGAAATTGAATAGCTGTAACTTCGTTAATAGATGTCGAAAATGAACGATTTTTATGTAGCTTTGTAAGGAATTTAATTACCTTTCATAAGTTTTATTATAAATTTTACCGTATAATATATATTTAGGGTCCCATATATAGTTAGCCCTCATAACATTTTTTTTTTCTTTATAACTTTTTTTTCCTGAATTTTCTCGGGAATTCAGTCTATATACGAAAATTGAAAGGACAATTATTAGAACATTTCAGAAAAGTTTCATCAAAATCGTTTGAGCCGTTTTTGCGCTAGTCTATAGAAGAACATATTTTTCATTTATTGCGCGCAAGCTATTGCCCATGGAGCACTGAATTTCTGCCACAGGCATCAGTTGTCAAAACCCTACAAAATAAAAAAAAGAAGCAACAAAATCGGTTCAGTAGTTTCCGAGAAAATCTTGGCACAGACAGACAGACCAATGGCTAAAAGTGTGTTTTTCGGACTCAGGGGCCTCTGAAACGAATAGATACGTCGAAAACCGCATATCGGAAATTTGACGCGATTGCAATACTTTCCTTACCAAGTGTAGGTAGGAAAGTAAAAAATGTATATACCTTTATGATTACTTAATATAATTTCATATTGTATTACCCTCTGCTAGTTCTATCCTTTAGCACAAATAGATTAAAAGTCCAAAATTTTCACATACGATCTTTTACACTAATAGTTGCGATATATACTTAATAAGTATGTTAAGTAAAACGGATGAAAAACAAAATCCAGAGGAAAAATGCAAATTTTTGTTTGTGCGGAGTTAACGAGACCAATACTTTTGTTCAGTCAGAACAAAAGTAATTAAGCTGGAATATAAAAATACTTATGAAGTTCCACAACTTTGATATTTAATGGGAAAATCGAGATCACAAAGAAACACAATAAAAAATAAGACATTTTTTTTTTACAAACTCAGAGTCAAAATCAATTTAAATTTACTGAAAATTACACGAAATCTTAGTAACAGCTGTAAGTGTCATACCAGTAACGCTTGGAGTCGATCGCATAATACAATATAATTTAACTTTTTGAATAAAACTTAAAATTTTATAACCCGATAAAAATATCGTCTTAAACTAATTCTCACATCATATGATCAACGCCTTCCTAATTTCACCGCCATAATATTGTTAACAATTATTTATATTAATTTTAATTATTAAATGAAATTGGTACTAAACAATTTCTGAATTATTCTCCAAATTTGGATCAAAATGAACGAGCCGTATTCAAACTATAGGCAAGTCAAACAATACGTCCACTGATCCGAAAACGGACTTCACTTTTTTGAGAGTAGCGAATAGAATTTAATAAAATTGGTAGGTACTTAATTATTACTTAACCAATCTCTGATTTCCCTCCAAATTTGAGATAAATCGAACTAAAGGTTTTAGAGATACATCAGGTTCAAAGAAAACGCGTTTACGCATATATTAGAGAAATTAGTGGACATAATTCCATAAAATTGGCATTACATGATTTTTTCACCAATAGCTAAATTTTATCCAACTTTGAGCTAAATCAAATGAGCCATTTCTGAAATATTGGCATATCTATGGAAATACATTTACGCTTGTGCAAGCAGAAATGGTTAATGGAATTTGATAAAATTGATATGGGACCATCTAAACACTAACCCGCACTATCCCTGAAAATTTCATGAAAATCGGATGAAAGGTATTAGGTGATATGCCTAACACATCAATTTTACTACAGATAGACAAACAAACGCCCAACCTAATTTGATCCTTGATGTCTGAAATGTAAAATGCGAGTGTAATTTCAATAAATAAAATTAATTTAAATAATTATTAACACTATAATGGCTCTGAAATGTGGAAGGCACTGATCATATGGAGTGAGAGTTAGGTTATAACAATATTGTTATGTGGTTATAAAATTTTAGGTTTTATTCAAAAAGTTAATTTATACTGTATCGTTTATTCGATTCCAAACGTTACTGGCATGACACATATTTGTTCTAGGAATATCACTGCAAATTTTTATGTTTTTCAACTTCGCTTCATCAGAAAATTTACCTGTTAAACTTTCAAGTTTGATATCGTGCTCAACATTTGTTTCAACATCCTTAATAAGATTATATGAAAGTATTTCTTCCTTTTCTTTTGTTAATTTCTCTCTTGAAGAACCGATAGTTGCTGAAATATCATCACCATTCCAAGTCTCAACCAAATCATCAAATTTACTTTTTATTTCTATCCACTTGTCCTAATAACTTATATATGCATCGAATTCATCCTCCAGTTCTTTTTCATCAATATTTTCATCAACTAGTATAAAAGCTCTTACCACTTTCTCAAACTCTAATAGATGTTTAGCTCTTGCTTCTAGTTTTCTAAATTCCTTTTTTAACTCGCGATCATTTTCAGCTATTTTCTTTTCTACTGCAGTAGCTAAAGTTGTAAATAAATTTATTCACTGAACTCTCTCTAATTTGACAGTTTTAAAATCTTCAGCAGTCATTATCCTTGATTTCTCACACTAGGGGTGTCACTATTTAATATCAGGAAATTACATTAGGAAACAAATCAGGCTTTGTTAACTATTTGGCAGTTTTCAACTCTTCAGCATTCATAATCCTTAATTTCCCACACAAGGGATGTCAGGAAATCACTTCAGGAAAAAAAATAGGGTTAGTTGAAAAATTTTATATCACAATACACACAACACTTTTATTGCTCTACAGGAACATCACACTATCAGGAACAAAACACTTCTACTGTTTTTGGGTAATCCCACCCAAGCCAATCTGCCTTTTGTTTACATGCTACAGTGCTACCTGATAACATGCATTAACTCTACAGTCTTATTTGTGATTGTGTTTATTTCCATTGAAGTTCAATAAGCTCGTCGTAGTCTCCATTTTCTCCTTAAATATCAAAATTGTGTCCACCTCACTCATATTTTTATATTCCAGCTTAAATTAGTTTTGCTCTGACTGCAGAAAAGTATTGGTCTCGTTAAACAAGAAGTTTGTTCTTCAAAAATTTTTTGTTCCATCCATCTTACGAGTTTAAACTTACATATTAGGTATATATTACTACTGTTAGTGCAAATGTCGTACGTAAACGTTTTCAATTTTTGAAATAATGTAGTTTGCAATTGATATAAGTAGTCTACTACTTTGAAAAATAACAGAGGGCATTGAAATCTAAAATTATACGCATAAATCATAAAGAAATAATTAGTTTTTATGCTCTCCTATAAAACACTCAATTTTTATTACGAATTATCAAATATGCAATCTGCAAATGCGGAACTTTTTCGTATTTTAATATTTCCTAATGAATATAACTCGTGGATATCAAGCCCGTATGTGATGAGGGATTATGTCTTCTTTCTGAGATTTTATTCTCATAAGAAATTTTAATATAGATATTTTTTAGCAAATGAAAACGACGAGGAAGCTAAACTGACCTTACTTAGCAGCACCTTACTTACCAACAAATAATTCCTAACCATCTGTTTGTCTTTCACACATTCCATTCAACAACACATCAACAGTCGACGACTGTTGACAATACACCGATTACGCAGAGTGACACACTACATTGCTAGAGCTTTAGAACAAAAACTATATGCAAGTGGCGTATTTTCGGATGTAGCTGAGGCGTTTGACTAAGTATGGCACCAGGACCTACTGTTTAAACTCTAATCCATACTAACGTACTCATACTTCCTGATTCTTCAATGTTTTCTTTTGGCTAGGTTTTTCTCAGGGTTCGGAGATTTATAAGCTATTCGTCCTGTGTTGGTGCGAGTACCCCAAGGTTCAGTACTCACTCCACAATTATATATTGTATGTACTTACGACATATCTATTAACAATGAGAGTATTTATATCTATTGACTAGTATTTATGCTGACAACACATAAATTATGGAAAAACATTAAGACTCTGCACAAGCCTCACTAACTTACAATGTCACTTAAATAAATTACAAGACTGGTGCTACTTATGGAAAATTCGACTTAACCACTATAATTCGAAACACATTACATTTATACTTCGAAGACTGTTTAGTATTGTGTTTCAGACATAATTGAGTTTCAAACAGGATTGATGTCGCAGCTTGCGCCATGAAAATTTTTGAGGGAAGCATATTTCAGCGTTGTTTTTTTGTTAATTTTCGAGGGGGATACGTTTCGGTGGGGTTGTGAATTTTCGGAATGAGAAGATTCATACCAGGGAACAAGAGTAAAACATAAAACAGTCCGCAGCAGGTGAAATTGTATATAATATAATTCTACCTTTGCTTATTCTGTGCTCACTTTTTTTTTTCATTGCTCAATAAAATATCTTGAGAGTAGATGGAATAAGTTCTTGCACCATCTACCATGGGAGGAGAGGTTGATGGCCGTCTCTTAATGTTATATTCATTAAATTCCTGATTATTCTTTTGAAAATACTTGTATTCCTTGTAGTCAAATAAGGCCGATCGAGAGTTATCGAGAGTGAAATACATATCAGCCACCAGTAACTCGTCACAACATAAAATACATTTATGTATTAAAACAATATCTTTCCAAAAAATAAAAATAAAAATTATTTCAATCTAAACTCACCTTCTATTACTTAATTATTTTATGTGACAGTTACAGAAAAAGTTACTAATGTGATAGAATCAATTGTTTGTTCCCATTGAAGGACGAATCTATTGTAAAAGGTTGTGCCAACTTCTCGCTTTGACAACGGAAAATTAGTCTATTATTTTTATATCAATTTTTTTTAACCACTTTAATTCTGGGGTATTCATTTTTTTTTTTTTTTTTTTTTTTACATCAAACGTCATTCAATGATTCACATCCTCAACATCTTGCATATATAGCTGCATCCAGTACTTGTTCAGTCAGTCAGACAACTGCAGTCGACATAATCAATAGATCCTCGCAAATATGTTTTATCCACAATTGGTTATAGCAATTGTTCTTTTGACAACACACTCAGTAAGTTTTAAATTAATAAAACTGAATGATTTATTTATAATTAAATTTATATCTTTGGGATGACAGCATTTTAGTCTTGTTTGTCTAGTGCAAATATTTTCATCGAATATATACCATCATACCTTTATAGATCTCTTTTCACCACTCTGAGGATAGTTCAGCTTTCCAAGGGATGGTGGGAGCTCGTGTGAATTATTTCATATTATTTACCTGAATGACTTTTTCATAATTCTCAATAAATTATAATGGTGATTTTGTAATTTTTATGTCAGATCATTATGATTTTTCATTATAATTATGTAGTGTATCCCGTAAGTGTTAATGTGCGTTATGATTTTAATAGACGTTAATTTTCTTACTTCATGTAATTTACTTCGTCTCTTGTTTCAAATTAAACGCTTTTGTTCGTTGCATAGTCCTCAGAACAACCATAATTCAAATAGAAAATACAAATATCCACTACAAACACGACTTTCCTTATAGCTTTGGGTTCCAATTACAATACACAAATTATTTTCTGTATCCTCGCTAATATTTCTCCGATTAATATTTTATATTTCTATTTTACTTATTGTTTATTTCCATATGGAACATTATCATGTTTCACATAAGCACTTTCATTCCAGGCTTTGTCGGAATCGTATAGAGAGATTGTCGCTGCTTGTTACAAAGAAGCCGGATTGACTGGTGATCCTGATACATTGAGTAAGTTCTACGACTCCTGTATGATTATTAATTCCCGTTTAGAAATTACTTGTTATGGTAGTTTATAGTATTGAAAGATAAATAATAAAAAGTAAGAAAATGTTTTAAAATATTGATTTCATATTTCAGATTTCAATGATCCTGATTTTTCGAAAGAAACCAAGGTATGTTTTATATCTAAGATCTGACTTGAATTAGGTCTGACGACTTTTCAATAGAGGACAGGATAATTTTCTGGAAACTCATTGTTATTTTTTTATTTTTAGATGTCTGATGAGTAAAAAAATCTAAATTTTCGCCTATGGCAGTCTTGTGGGTTTCACAGTGCTCCAAAAATCATACAAATTTCTTAATTTTGGTATAACTTAATATCTAAAAGCGATGTAAAATAATAATAAAAGGCTTAGCGAACCCGGGGGTTCGATGCCGATACCACCAATCGCTGTCTACACACCTAACCAAGCCCAAAAATTTTACTCACCCATTTTATTCACCGCAATCTAATCAACTTAATTTTATTTATCGGATATAGTGCATGCAATTCGTCGTTGTGTATCCGTCTAAATTCTCCAGTTGACTCATCCTTTGATCCAAATATTCTACACAATACATTATTAAAAAAAAACGAAAATAATATATATATATATATATATATATATATATATATATTTTCGGTTGGCGCTACAGACCTTGTAGATCTTTGACCTCGAGATGTGGTCTTCTAGATCACATCCTGATTCCTGATTTAAGTATCCAGGGGTAGAGTCATCAGTCCTACGCTCGGTCGGTGTGAATTGCCTCCAGTAGCTTGATGAGTCTCACAAACCCGAGGAGAGGTTTCGGGCTGCATGGCTTTCCCTGGTAAACGGCCACCCATATCGGGCGGTCACCCATCCAAGTGCTAACCACGCCCGGCGTTGCTTTAGTGCTTTAGCTCGCACGGATACCCCAGCCTCCCATATATACACATATATATATATATACATAATTTATTTATGTTAAATTCAATCTCCAATTGCAGTAACAGTAACTGAGGTACCTATCTTGCAAAATAGACAAGTTTTCATATTTATTTTTGGCTGTTTGTATTATATTATTGAAAAAATGTTTTTATGTACATACAATCGTATAGTCATTGAAGTAAAAAATATACTAGTAAACAGTTGTTTTTTATAAAAATTTAAAAAGTAAACACGTCATAAATTGAAAACAACATTAAAAACAGTATTAATAGATCGTAGCTCTGAACAGTTTACTATATTTGAAATCAAAACTTCATGACAAAAACGTGATAAAAATAGAAACATAGCAAAGCTATGCATTTCAGTATTAATATTTCTAAATGACGACTCTGATAAGATTAATAATAATATTTTCCATGTGGAAAGTCATTTCTTTTATGCTCAAAGTGCAAGGTTTGATTACACTTCAATAAAAAAATGACTGTTCAATACAAAAGGCTCATATTTAAAGGAGATTTTTTGTATTGATTTTGCTTTAATACTGACAATCTCTGTGCGGGAATATGGTACGATGTGGCTACCCAACAGACATTAAACAAGAAAATTCATAACTGATTGGATTGAGATTCTGTTTCACCCTGCTTAAAATCTTCCTAGAGCTATGGTCCGTTCTGATTATCGTCTGCTCCAATCAATGGCTCATGGTATTCTAAGAAGAACATCCTAAGTATCTGCAAATTGGGTTTTCTATTGTTATTGACTTAGACTCATGTAGTTTTTACTTCAACAGTTTTAATTGTTTTCACAAAGGCATGGGTCAGTTAGTATTTCTCAGCTTATACAAAATTTATTTAAATCGGATGTATCACTTCTAAGAGGATAATTAAATATAGTTGTTTAAAAATAATTTTATTGGCAGTCTCATATTGTTTAACACAAGTTCTTTGATGTATATATTTGTAGAATAATTATTAAAACTTTATTTACTAAATAATTATCTTATTTCACAGTGTGCTGTGGCTTGCACATTAGAAAAACAGGGAGTGGTAAGAATCATTTTCTATTAATCATAACATTATAAATGTACATTATATTTTTGTAAGACACATTCCAGCATGTGATAAAGATGGAATCATGGCGGACTGTAGAAAAAAAAAATTACAAGTCCTTTCTATTTCATTAGCTCAAGCCAGATGGGTCCATTGACAGGAAGATGGAAAAGGAGATACCAGAGGAAGTAGTAAAAGACGAAAAATTGAAGAATAAATACCTACAGGCAATCGAGGAATGCCACAATGTATCTGGTACTGATCATTGAACATTACTTAAATTTCAATATCAATTATTTAATAAATCATTAGTAGAAAAACTTACCAATATTTAAAAAATATTTTCAGCTAAGGAGGATAGATGTGAAATAGCATTCTTGTATATGAAATGCTTGTATAATAGTTTATTGTGAACGTTCTCAGGTAATTACTGCTCAAACTGTTGGAAAATATCAGTTTATTTCATTATTATAATAAGCGAAAATTTTATTGTTACGCTTTTTTGTATCATATTTTTATAGCTATTCCACCAATTTTTTATTTAATAATCTTTTTTAAAAATACTTTTGAATTTAGAGTGCCTTTAATTATTTTAACTAAAATCTGTTTTTTTTATTCATGAACTTTACAACTGTATAAATAATTAAAATCTAAACGTATTATTATTGTTTCAGATTGGACCAAATTGAAGTTAATGATGTGTGAACATTGTTCACTCATATTAATAATATATTTTTAATTTATATATATTTGCACAAAATTGTATTTTACGCAATAAAGATTACTTTTAATAATTTATAATATTTTATTCCTATAACAGTATTTCATATAGTTATTTCAATTCCTAACATATTATTTGTAAGCTTAAGGGTTGGAACACATAGGCATTTAAAATAACTGAGAGAAAATTTAAACATATATTTTTTGTATAATAATGGGTTATTATTATACAGTTTAGATATCAGGTGTTTAGAATAAGATTTTTTTCGCGTAATTAGTTTTTGTTTGAACCTGTTTTTGTTTAACTTACATTTAAAAAAAAAAATTTGAATAAATAAACAATATTTATAAATTTAATATAAAACACTTCCTTGAATAACCATTAATGCCATTTTCATTTGCTCCTTTACAGTGTGTAATGAAAAACGTAAAATAACATTTGTGTGTCAAAATAAACAAATTAAAAATAATATCAATTATGTATATATATATATATATATATATTTAAGTAATAAAGTAAATATATATATATAATGCTATGTATTGTAAAGACCGTCGGTGGAATAATTAGTTTAAAGGTATAAACAAATAAACATTAAGGTAATTTAGGTATTACCTAAATATAAACATATTTAGGTATAAACCCAACATCTGGCGGTTGGGTACCTGACTGAGGGTAACCCATTAGGACAACCTTTTGTAAGTGGTAATAAAAACCCTTAAGGACCACCGACAAAGACCGACAACTAGGTGTTTAAAAAGGATCCCAAAAGACCTTTTCACACCTTCCACCAGAAATACCTAAGTCTGTACCTGCTGCTTTACCTTGGCCTGGGGGAGAGGGCGTGGTCATCCCTTAGGCTGAGAATATTCAGCCAATCAGGAAAAAGGCTGCCAAAAGAGAGGGGGATGAAAAAAGGTGGAAAATATAGAACTTGGACGAAGACACTTCTTTTTGGAACTCGGAGGAGAGAGGACTTCTTCTGGGAACTTGGAGCTGAGAGGACTTCTTCTGGGGACTTCAAGCGGAGGAGTCGAGGGAGGAAGATGAAGACAGCCGGAGAGAGCAGATGGACGGACTAGACGCTGAAGGAGAGCAGAGACAGGGAATCCAGATATGACAGCTAGAAACACTATGAAGGACCAGCTAAGTGGTAACAAGCATTTAGTTATACTAATGTAAATTTGTGTTGGCAACCATACATCATTAATTAATAATAATAACACTAATACAACATCAAGCATTCTCCTCTAGTATGATTCTTAACTATTCATTATGTATATAGGTTTAGTTATTATTTTGTATATAGTTGGTTTTGGTTTTATTTAAGCTTGTAAATATAATAGTTAGTAAACCAACGTAGTACTTTTACATTCTACCTTGCATGCCACCAATTAGTAATAGAAACAAATAGTACATTTATAAACATGATACCTTTAGAAAGGAAATCCAATAAAGAGTATATCCTTCAATCTAGGATACAACAGAACGGGGACTGTAGTATCTAACATTTAAATACATCATTAATATAATTTAAGTTGATCGGTTCCCTTCTGGGACCGATATAAATACATATAAATACAAATAAATGCGATTCCTGGAACCCCTTACTCGCCGTAGAAACGCGAGGCCAGGAACATAGCAATATATATATATATATATATATATATATATATATATATATATATATATATATATATATATATACATACACGTAATAGAGATTTTAGTGACCTTTTATGTTAAACAAGTGATGAACCAACGGCCTCGATATTCATTAATCCAACTCTCGAATTAATTGAAATTTAATTATTTAACATTAACAGAGATGAGTAAAATTTATGTGCATTGGTGTGTTTATTCAATTTTAAATAAAATAGCAATACTGAAATATAAACCATTGTGCCCTCGTCAGCCTAATTACTTCTGCATACTCTTAATATGGCCTCTAGTAGTTAATAGTAAAAAGTTCCCCACCAAAGGTATGTACCATAAGCTACTTCTATGTAATGAAATGGTACCTGACTTGAACAAAAAATTAGTTACTTAAAACATCTTAAAATTAAAATGGATTAAAACTAATAGAATATCAGTATGGTTCATTCAAATATGCAGATGGACCCAACTAAAAAAAAAAATAATAAAACTATTTTAACCTATATTTAGCGGGAAAAGTTATCGAAATTCAATGATTAATATTGCACTGCTGGAGAATCAAAATTTATCCCGACAAATTACTTTTACCCTCCGTTATAAACCTACCACATCCTTTCCTACTGTATCCATTTACAATATTCCGCTTATTCCTGTCGAACAGATCCGTTACCTAGGACTCCATCTTGACACACGTCTTACTTGTAACCCTCATACTAGATTGAAAAGACAAGAAACTGCTAACAGATTCCGACTACTACAATACTTACTTGACAAAAGCTCTAACCTTGTAATATTTTACAAAAAACTCATATACACTTCCATCACCAGGTCTAATTGGACATATGGAATAGAGCTTTGGGGCTCCACAAAACCAATAAATTCTTCCCGTATCTAATCCTTTCAAAATCCTCCGTAAAATCCTTAATTTTGCTTATTATGTCACAAATAAAATTATTCATAAAGACCTCAACATTCCCTTTGTTGAAGAATTGGCCGGACTACAATACTCCTCTTTTAATTCCAAATTCCTTGGCCACTCTAACCATCTAGTCCATAACTTTTCATCCAAAACAATTCCTGACAACCCTCCAAGGCGTCTGTAAAGAAGATGGCCAAGGGACCTTCTAAATTAATTTAATTTTTGAAGTGATACCAATGGGTAGTTTCTTTACAAGTTTTTTTATTATCATTTAGCAGATTTATTTATTGCATATGTATACAGGTTTAAATATCAATAAATGAATAATAAAAGAAAAATATTGCACGGTACCACTAAAGTATTTGTTTCTTGTTGAAATATTTATTAAAAAACGTTCAAGAAATATCGGAGAAAAAAGTTTATTTTCAAGCTGAAATAATATCTTATATTTTGTAAAATTATTAGCCTAATATAATGTCAAAGTTATAAACTACAGTGTAGTCAAGTGAAAAAACACTTTTAGGTTGAACTTATTAGAACAAAAATAATTCTTGTTGTAACGTGTTCCAAATCAATTTACTAGAAATAAAGGCCCAGTTAATACAAAATATATATTACAATATATTTTTGTGAGAAATAATAAATATACATTCTTCACAAAGTTAGTTAAAAATTATCTTAATCAGCAGGTAAAAATTAAATGATCGGGTGTTAAATAATCGGCACCATGTTAAAATAACAAATGTGAGCCTGTTTAAAGTCACACATTTGTTACTATAACATATGAGTAAACAACAGTAGTGTATATATATATATATATATATATATATATATATATATATATATATATATATATATATATATATATATTGTATAAATACGTTTTTATTGACTGTTATATATTATTTTACATACACAAACCGCGATGGACCGTAACGAAAATACCAGGGTGAAAATCTCTATTTGGTATTAGGAGAGTAGGAGTTTACAGTAGCTCAACTTTTAAGCCAAGACATCTAGCCTCCATAGTGCTGCTCTTATGGCAATTATTCGAACTATCATTTTCCGTACAAATTTCGGCTCTAAAATCTTTATTTTGTACTAGGAGAGTAAGAGTGTACTTTAATGCAATAAATGTGAGTATAAATGTTGAGAGTAAATGTGTAAGTTTTGAATTATTCGAAAATCTAGTTTTGAATCCATCGTAATATTCGTTCATATTATTTTCGAGGAAGGATGTCATACACATAAATTAAAAGGGCTTCAAGGAGAAGACTTTAAACAAGTTTATTATAAATCGATATAGCCGTTTAGGCGCTACAGTCTAAAGCGAGATAGGTTTTTCGGGCGCCTTTCTGAAATGAAAGCCCGGAGGGTAATTAAATAAATATAAAAACGTTCCTGAATCCGAAAGAAACGTTATTTCATTATTTCAAAGCAATCGGTGAATAAATTTTGGAGATTCAGCGGTTATGAACAAACGAACATTTAGGTTTTTATTTATATAATTATTATTAATTATTTATATAACATTTTGTCTTCTTCTCTGGTTCGAAAGTAATTGAAGCTAAAATCCCCAAAAATTTATACCGTCATCAAAAATATCGCTCCCGGAAAAACTCATAACCAAACATGTGCCACCATAAACATATTTATGCGGCAACTTGTGCCATACAACCCTCTTCTTGGAACCCTTGTTCCCTAAAGTTCGGCAACCTTAAGAGAGAGAGACATAATGAATTCCAGGGCTGTTTTACAATAGAATTAGGTTTGAACAAATAAGATTTAGTCTTAAGTAGATTGTCTTGTAAGTGGATCCTTGTATAGGATTGGAGCAATTAGATTGCAGGATAGAAGCATACTGCCACAGGCCAGATTCAGTAGTAGTTGGAGAAAGGCGGATTTTCGAATAAAAAGATTCGAACTAAAACGTTTTAAAAATTATTATGTTGTTTTCTAGTTAAGCAGATTGACAGTAAAAAGTTGATAAAGTTTCAAGAAAAAGAGTACCAACCTCCAGCTCAAACCAACCAACTGTAGTTAACCAACAAATAACACGAAATTCCGCAAAATTACTATGTTTTCAATTAAACTATTGAAAACAAAAACAATGAAAA